GTAACACTTTATTTTAAGGTGTCACAGAGTAAGTACATGTAGTTAATTAATATTACTCAGTACTTAAATGTATAATTGCACTGTAACCAGGACACCTTAAAATAAAGTGTAACCGTAAATTTTTTTTTTTTTTACATCTAGTTACACTCACTGTTTCACCGGTCTCTGTATTATTGGATGAAACTTCAATTTTTCTTTTACGGGCAGGAGGTTCGGAGTTATTAACCACTTCCTCTGTGATTTGATTGGATTGAACTGCCAATACTAATAAAAAAAATGTAAAAAAAAATAATTTAAACAAGAACACCTTTAATGACAAAGTACACGATTGTGGTGAAAATATACTATACCTGGAAATGAATGAATGAATGTAACACAAAATAATTAAAAGAATTAATGTTTATTTAGCAAGCATTCAATTTATCAAAAGTGACAGTACTTTTACATTGTTACAAAAAATTCTGTTTCAAATGCTGTCCTTTTGAACGTTGTATTGATGAAGGATTCCTGAAAAAATGTTTTTCAAAATTGAAAATAAGAAACATTTCTTGAATACATCATGTGACACTAAAGACTGGACTAATAGCTGCTGAAAATCCATCTTTATAAATTACAGAAATTAATTACATTTCAAAATTGTAAAAAAAAAAATTTCAAAATATAACTGTTTTACTGCTTTTGACTAAAAAGGCACCCTTGATGAGCATAATACAACAGCACTTCAGTGTGACATTAAAAAAATAGTAATAATACATTTTTCATTGAAGCTAACAGAAAAATATTGTAATTTCTTCCTCTGGAAATAACCTTTATTCTTAAAATATTCATCCTTTAATCTCGTATTTCTACAAATGTACTCTTGTATTGTTATGACTTTATTCTCAAAATATTATGACTTTAATCTCACAATGTTACAACTTTATTCTTATCATTTTAATTTTATTCTCAACTTACTGTCTTTATTCTCGTAATCTTTTTTTTTTTTGGAGCTAAAATGCTGTCATACATAAGAGATTTCTTTCTAAAATAGGAAAAACTTACCCCAAACTACATATTAATCTAAAACTGTAACATTGAGAAGTTCCCTTCAAAATCCAAAATAAGTCTAGGAATTCCTACCTTGTCGTCCATCCTGCATTGTGACAAAGAACGGTTGGCCGAGTCCATTTGTCTGCAGATTTCCATGTTGATCTGTTAATATGGTTATGACCCTCTGACCCGATTCATTCACCACTTGCTGGATACTCGAGTCCAAGGCACTGACAGCAATGGCCTCCTCTGTGTCACCTAAACATCAAGCGAAAACAGAACACAAAAAGCAATTGTAAGTTTAATTACTATTTAAGTTGAAAAAACATCCATCAGTGTTTCCATATTTTCCATTATTATAGATTCCATTATTCCATATTTATTTTCTAGTCAACGTATCGTACCCGAGTTGGTTTTGATCAAGTCAGTGAGGTTGACGACTCCCCCTTGGATGTTTGGGATGCCCTGAATGATGAACTGTGGGGTGGAGCTGCCGTTTATGATTGACGCTTCGGCATTCATGTTCACCTGATTCTGCATTCCCTCCTAAAACACACAAAGAGGATTTAACATCTTTAACATTTCTCAAACAACTCTGTAATGTTTTCCACGAACACAGCAGACCTGTATTAGTTGCACAAGTTCAGCGTGTTGTATGTCGACAGCGATATCAAAAGCTGATTTGTCAAACTTGCTGAGGGCATGTACATCAGCGCCATGTTTGATCAACAGCTCTGCGACGTTGTGATGGCCGTGCTGGGCTGCCCAGTGAAGAGCCGTCATCTTCAACATGTCCTTGGCATTGATGTCAGCACCACTCTAAAACATGAAAAGGAAATTTAAGAGACTTGTGTCAGTCTCCTCAGCTAACAAACTGAGATCAGGAATATTTTTAGTACATTAAATAAGCAGAACAAAAGACAAGCATTCACTTACCCTGATTAATAAATTCACAATGACCTCATGGCCCTCTGTGGCCGCCATGTGCAGTAAAAATTTAAGGGGGTCTGAATACTTTCCGTACCCACTGTATATAATATAACACGATTTGTTAATGCAACAATTGAATATGGTATAACTTCCTCCATATTCTACATACAGGGTTTCTACAGGTTTCATGAAGGTATTTAAGATTTTTTTAAGAACAAGTAAAGAAAATTTAAGGAATAAATCGAAGAGAACAAAATATATCAATATGGTCTCTAAATGTAAGTGTCTTCTTGTATTAGCATTAGCAACACTTCAAAGTTTGAAAATGCAACTCCTAATAGATCTACGTTACTTTTTAATTCATTTTTACACATTTTAATGCCTTATATATAGCACAAATGTAAATTACTACAAGCAGACATCGTCAATGACAAATGTTGAGTCAGAACATGGCTCATGTTTTTTTTTGTTTTAAGGCAATGGTATCATTGCTTTGTTAACTGCTTCTTGTGAAGGCTAAGCCCATAATTAGATAGAACATAACTGATAACTTGACCAACCCAATCTGTAGTGAACGGAGCTCCGTTGGCCATCAGCGTCCTGACCTCATCATCATGACCGTTCCGAGCTGCTTCTAAAAGACGCTTTCCCAAATCCACCAATGACATCTAGGCGAAGACAGACATTAAAAATACCATAATGATAATGAAACTGTATTATTTTAGTGCTGTCAAATGATTAATCGCATCCAAAATAAAAGTTTTTTACATGGTATATGTGCGTGTACTGTGTATATTTATATGTATATATGTATATATATATAAACACACACACATGTTACATTTATATATTAAATATATTTATATATTATATGAATATAAATATATAGGCCTACATATAAATAAATTTAAATATTTTCAAAATATATGCTGTATGTGTGTGTATTTATATATACATAATAAATATACACAGTACACGCACATATACTATGCGAACAGAAACTTTTATTTTGGACGCGATTAATCGCGATTAATCGTTTAACAGCATTAATTACATGATGATGATGCTTGTGTATAAATCTAACAGAGATATATTGGAATGGGGAAATTTTGATCTGCCACTGACCAATAATAAGTTTCAAGCCACATCCTTAACTTCAAGTTATGATTGAGTGATTGACTAAATATAAATTTGACTTGTAATGAGATGTTAACCAAATTAAGAGAGTACAGTCATCAAATGGACCTACATATGTACATACATATTTCATTCCCAATTCAAAGTCTAAAAATGTCACTGTCTAAAAAAATAGTAAGAAAATAATGTTTCCAACTCTTTAAAGATATCTGTACTTTGTATTACAACTTATCCAACTTTTTGCATCGATCAAGAATCTAACGTACACCGATTCAGACGTGCCATTTGCGTTTATTTTTCATAAGATGTTTAAAAACCCATAAACTGGTGCAGTAATCAGCTAAACAATGTACTTATAAGCAAGCAAACTGATAACGTTACTCATAATGAACAGCGTAAGTAATGAAAACAGAAATAACAGAGATCGAATGAATCTTATAAAAGCGAATCCCTAAAAACATATGAAACGCATAGTGGGTAAATAAGTTATCTAACTGCGATTTTAAAGCTGGTATTTTACATGCCAAACTCATGTGCCATGTGGAGTCAAATCTAGAGCCGAGCTGATCACACATCCTCCATCTGCGCCACCAACTAATGCGATCTGTGCATATAAACTTACCTTTATAGCCAGTCTGTCGGACGTATATTGTGTGATATTAAAGCACTATATAGTTTTTCCGGCTGTATTTCTCAACTGGCTGGGAATAAACATGTCTGTGTGTTTAAAGCGCATTCAGATATGGCGGCTGCTTTAACCCCGGAAATAAAAGTGAAGCCGTTCAGACCACTGTTGCCAACTCTCACAAGATAAATAAGCAACCGCAGCTTGGAAAAGGAGAAAAACACAAGAGCTTCAAAGGGGAACTGTAACATAGCCACATATTTATAGCCTACTAAAATGTAGGCTATATAGTTTTAGTATTAGTGGTCATTCAATGCATTGGAGAATACGGCGAACATAAATAAAGAAACGAAGTTGCTTGTCAGATTTCCCTAACAAGCAATCTTTTTTTTTAAAATAAACCCAAAAAACCGTAACCCGGGATTTTTTCACGCAATTTTACAAAAAAAGAAGCCCAAAAGTGGCGTATAATACGCGGACTTGGCAACTATGGTTCAGACCCCGTGGACGTGTCTCAAAACCTAGTGAGCTGCCTACTCCGACAGCATGCTTGAGCCTACTAGATGCGTTTTGGTTTTAACACCATAAATCCTGCACAAGCCTATGATGCTCAAAAATGCTGACTAGGTAGTCAGCTCACTTGGTTTTGAGGCAGAGCCTATTCAACTGTATAGATAGGCCTACAATTTTTATAGATATATATTTTTATTTATAAATACATTGTAACTGTATATAATATACAGGTTTTATGTTTTTTTGATTTTCTATTTATTATATATACATATGATATTGCCAAAATATTAAGTTGAGATGTATGACTCCATTTTCTGGCAATCATTTTTTTATTGGTTTCTGACTATTGATGTATTTAAATTATTTAGTCTTTATCTTAACTGTGATATAAATTAATAACTTTGCTTGGTCTAATATTTAATACTGCAAACTCTATCTGCAGTTTTCTGCTTTCCTACACTGCTACCCAGCTGTGCTCCAAAACACCTGTGCTTATCAACACAAGAAACCACAGGAAAAACTCAAAAGAAAAAGAAAAAATTATCTTGCCCAAAATCTACTTCAAGTTTAATTTGCAAAGTTAGAACTAAAACACTCTTTTTTTTTTTTTACACCTGTTGCATTGAAAAAAAAAAAGAGTTTTTGAATATGTTTGTGTGTAATGCTGTAAAATCTGTCAATTTCTCTCAATGGTCAATGTAAAATAATATGATCTATTTAGCTATAAAATGATAAATGAAACATGAATACAGATGCATTTTATTCATTTAGCAGCAAGCTCATTTTAATTGGCATCTGACATTTGTCATCAAACATAATGGGGAAAAACAGTGAAAAGCATTAGCTGTGTATTTTAACATGGACAGCTGTTCAATACAAAAACCCTTTTAAGTGAGATTCCAGTTTAAACTAATAAATGACTGTATGCATTAATATTACAAATCATTTGGCAGACAATAATATTATACAGTTTTAGATTTCTAATTTGTTCTAAATCTCCTTGCCTTGAAGTGAATTTGGCAGATTATGATCTAGATATCTTAAACTTATTTCATGGCCAATTGATCAGTCACATATATAGTCTACAGGGCAGTGAGATACTAAATAGTGTAACTAATACATCCATTTTCAGTAATGCCTTACTAGTTTAATCAAACAAGAAGCCAGTTATCACAGTTTACTGACACGGTTTAACAAGAAAGGCATGATACATGACTCTTGTATTCATCAACATCAGAATGGAGTAGAGAATCGGTGCAAGCACAGTGGAATTAAAGACAGATTTGGGCAGGAACTGAGAATTGCATTGCAGTGTCTTATACCAGCAGGCTGAAATCCAAGGTATCGATACCAGCGACGGGCTCTTTCCAGTAGTTGAAGGCGGAGTACTTCAACAGCTCCAAATCATCTTCCTCCTCCTGTCCCAGGGGTTTTTGGGAGCTCTTGGTCGACTTTGCCTCCTTGGACTTGGGTGTAGAAATGCCAAGGTCTTCCAGCTCTGACAGGTCCAGTGATGGGATGGGCTGCCTCCAAAACAGGAAGGAGTCAAACTGGGTGCTGCTTGTGTCTAACATTTCGATCTGCGCATTAAAAAGAGATTAAAAGATCAGCACTGCACTGCTGCCAAGCAAATATTCATTTGGATTCATAAATTACATAATAAAGACGAACTTGTTTGTTGTTTCAAAGAATACATTGCATTGCTTGCTATTTAAAAACCTGTTTACTTCCCCATGTGCTATTTTCAGTTACCTGCTATTTTCAGGGAAACTTGAGCAATTTACATCTGTTAAACAACTTTCATATACAGGCCAAAGGCTAAAATCTAACATAAAATAATAAGCACAATTATTATATTAATTATAATAAACTAATATCAATTATACTGTACTATAATTTTTTATTTAAAAATTGATTATTAAAATAATTTTAAGTTATGCTAATTAACTGTAAGCAATTTAAATGTAAAAACAACTTTAATATGCATGTCAAAGCAGAAATGATCATTATGATAATTATAAAAGAAGAAATTATAAAACAGTGGCAACAACAAACTAAAATATCATGTTCAAGAATCGTCTGTGTGATTGCGTCTGCACTTTAGGCATCTAATTATATTAATATATCATAACTAGATGGAAGATTTAAGATCTTACAAGTGCAGGATTTAAGACCTTACAATAAAATGAAAGCAAATTACATGTGCAACTTTCATAAACATGTCAAATGAGAACTATACTGTAAAACCATATATAACAACTTGTTATCAGTATGATTATTATAAAATAAGGAAAAATAAAAATGTTGTGGCAACAAAAATCTTATATGTCATATTCAAGAATTATCTAGCTATATGATAGTGTCTGCATATTAAGCATCTAATTATATTATTATTAATATTAATTATATTATTAGATGCAAGATTTAAGATCTTAGAGGTGCAAGATTTATGACCTTAAAATAAAATGAAATATATTGTGTATACGTTGTACTACTAGGCTATAAAAATAACTTATCATCATTATGCCCATTATTAAAGTAATAATAATAATAATAATAAATGATTCACAATAAAATAAATGTTCAAGAATAAGCGATATGATGGTGTCCACACTTCTGCCATCTAATCATATTAATATATTATAATTAGATGCAAGATTTAAGACCTTACAGGAATAAGAACAAAGTAGCATTATCTTTTCATTACAAAGAAGATATATCATTTGGAAGCTGCAATTTAAAAACATACGAAACCTTTAAAAAACCAATGATTATCATGAAGCCGCTCTAATTAATTGAGCTGCACGGTTATGTCGCGTCGTGGGGTGATTTAGCTCTGGCCACACAATGCAGCGGCGGTGTACGCCCAAATTTCACAGACAATCGGTGGATGAGGTCCTTAAAGGACCATCAGGAATAGCCTGCATGTTTTTTTTGCAGCATCTCACATGCACATCTATTAAAAGACAGGCTCTCGCAGCCCCAAAAATAGTGATGGCGCATCTCATGACAAAGCATTTCAGAGATGCTTCAGTTCAGTGGTACGAATGGATTACAAGCAACTGACCTTAAATAGGCCAGTTTCAAAAACTGACCTTTTAAATAGTAAAAGACGTTCAAATTACCGTATTTTTAACTGACGAATGAGGTCATATTAATTCATTAGTCTGGACATCATGCCTATGTGATGGAACACCAAAATCATTTGAAATGCTTTAAATGAACAGGATTAAAACAGAAATATTGCTCAACAAAAGGAACAATTGAAAGAACATACCCCTAGTATGTGATCAGATCGGCTCTCTGTGAATTACAAGCTGGTTTGTAGTTATTCGGATTTGAAGAAGAACAGAAGACGCACCCTGTTTAGTCTCAATCTTCTCGCCGGCTGCTCAGCATGAACCAACCGCACCCAACATCACTAGTGACAGTCGTGGAAGATTTGCATTCGCCCCGCCCACCTTCTGCGGGCGATTGAGGGGGACCAGTGACAGGTGCACAATTAGCGTCAAGTGGGCGTGGCTGATCGATTGTTCTAATAAAATAGTGAAATTTAGTAACTGCATTAATGGGTGTTTGTTAGTAGTTTTGTGGTGTCTTTACAATCTCTGGTACCCACTTGCATCTGTTAACGACCCCTTCTTCTGTTTTGCAAGTAGAGTCGTCTATTGTGTGTGATGTGAGTGCTGTTTGTTGATTGGCTGAGTTCAGCGTCCATCAGGTCGATTGACCCTTCTCTCCACTGACTGAATTTCCTGCACGCAAAATCGAAATGTATTGATAATTTCAGTAGAATAAAATGCTCAGCTTTAGTGTCTGAATATTTATTTTAATTTAGTGAATACCAGATGCACAGACTGTAAATGTTTCCGTAGATTAATATTAAAATCACGTTAGATATTTACAGGAATATAAAGAAGCTTTTAGATAAGTAGTGTGCAAAAAGATAACACATTGTTATTCAGTATCATCCCTATTGTGAAATATAGAATATTCAATACTGTATTATAGGCCTAATTTGATAATAATAATAAGTTGGTACATGAAATGACTGACTTGCATGAAAAGGACTCATTCAAACACATGAGACGAAAATAAATGATTTACACTAGATTTTAGCTCATTCCCAGTTATAGAAAACTCAGTCAATCCTGTTTAACAGGTAAAGTTAAAAGAAAGAAAGAAAGAAAGAAAATTCTCTTCTGTCATTATGTTTGTGGAACACAAAAGGACATGTTTGGCAGAATGTTTGGGACTGACAGCTTTAGTCACCGTTCCTCATTCATTGCATCATTTTGCCCATACAGTGAATGTAAATAAAGCTGTCACTTTTCTTATCAGACCAAAATGATAAAAAAAATGTAGTCCATCTGTGTTGCATTGACTAAAATCAGTGATTAATAATAATATAATATGTGACCCTGGACCACAAAACCAGTCTTGAGTCGCATGGGTATATTTGTAGCAATAGCCAAAAATATATTGTATGGGTCAAAATTATCGATTTTGTTTTTCGAAATTCGAATTTATCGAAAAAAAAGTGTTGTGAAATAGAAGAAAAGATGTAGACGAGGGTGTGCCGTGACTAAAAGCAGAAGTATTTGTTTGTGAATTTCATGTTCATGTACTTCAGATCATTATATGTATATAAAATATGAACTGTATGAAGTCTGTCTATTCTTCAGGTGAAGTTGCCGGCTCAGATGGAAGTGGTCACCACTGAAGAGCTGATGGCTCACCTTGGTAGGATGTGTTAGAGCACTGGACATGCAGTTTCTGTTTTACAAATCAAATTACATTAAAACACAAAGTGCACACAGCACATCCATCGTGGTAATGGACTGTAATAAGTTAAGGAGCTCTAGTGATGCACCACAGTAAACTTTATGGTTGGAAACAGATGGCTGATGTGACTTGAGAAGGAGGGGGTGTGGTTACAGTGTGAAAACATTTGTGTTTCAGTACCATTAATGGCACCCCAATCACGGAATATACCATTAAGTCTCTGCTCTTTGTGTAAGTAGTCATTTAGAAGACGCTTTTAGGTTAAGTGCCTCGCTCAAGGACACAATGGTAATACTTTCTGACCCCTCGATGGGTTTGAATCCTTACTAGTCCAGGTGTTTAAAGTAATAGTTCACCCAAAAATGAAAATTTGCTGAAAATGTACTCACCCTTTGGCCATCTAAAACATTTGTTGGAGAAGTTTAGTATTACATCACTTGCTCACCAATAGATCCTCTGCAGTGAATGGGTGCCGTCAGAATGAGTCCAAACAGCTGATAAAAACATCACAATAATCCACAAGTAATCGTTGATCAGTAACAGTTGATCAATTAATGTCTTGTGAAGTGAACAAACTCTGCATTTGTAAGAAATCAATCAATCATTAAGGTGATTTAACTTTAAACCGTTGCTTCTGGCCAAAATACAAATCCATAATCCATAATAATGCTTCCTCCAGTGAAAAAGTCTTACAGTGCCCCTATTATGGATTTTTGAAAATTACCTTTCATGCAGTGTGTAACACAGCTGTAAGTGATTGAAAACATCCTGCAAAGTTTTAAATCTGAAAGTGCATCGTGTATAAAGTTATGGTCTCTCAAAAGAAAGAGTCGACTCTGAATCATTGAAATGAGTCGTTTTTAAAGGGGTCATATGATGCTTTTTGAAATGAAAATGAGACCAATCGGACCAATCACCACAGATTAGCGTGACGGGGTTTGGAAAAATGATTCGTTGAGCTAATCGTTTGGGAGTCGTTGAGCAAGTAAGGTAAAAATAAATGCATATTATAAGACAATGACTGCTTTTTTTATTTTTATATACCTTGCATACATGTCAACCTGTTGTTGGGGACTCCCAAAACCAAAATATGAACCTTTCATTACCCATAATAGGGGCACTTTAATGATGGATTTGTTTATTACAAACATGCAGCTTTTTGCTTCACTGGAGTTGTGTGGATTATTGTGATGTTTTTATCACCTGTTTGGACTCTCATTCTGACGGCACCCATCCACTGCAAAGGATCCATTGGTGAGCAAGTGATGTAATGTTAGATTTCTCTACATCTGTTACATCTCATGAAGAAACAAACTCACCTATATTTTGAATGGCCTAAGTAAATTTTCAGCAAATGTTCATGTTTGGGTGAACTATTCCTTTAACTACCACTCTTGATCAGCTATGGGTGTAGGTTTTCTTTTACAGTGTCCCAAAAATGTATTTGGAAACGTTTGCACATTGAAGTCACATACATGAATGTCACTGCATTGCATTAAATAACAAAATTCAAACTGTAAAAAAAAAATCTCAACTTTTCTTATCCATTTTTTTAAATTCCTATTAACCAAGTGGTGTCACTAGCATAGTATTTATATTTACGTACTTACATTTCTCTAATACAATGATATTTTAAGTGTGGCTTAAGTGTCCAAATATTTTTTGGAGCCACTGTATATCACCTCTCTTATTAGGTCATAGCTAGAAATGTTATGTTGCTGAGTGATGGGGAGATAAACAAGAAGTGCTTTCACAAACAATACAAATATGTTTGACATGAAAAGGTGACACTTCTCAAATCACACAACCTTTGGCAGAAAGCTGAAGTGTTTTTGAAATGCTTAAGCCCAACTTTTTCTCGTTCTAGGTGAATGTGTGCTGTCCATCAAACCGCGGGAGAAAGCAGAAGGCATGGAGCTCAATTTCCAGCAGGTAAATCGTAGTATGGGAGAACCATTGTAACAGGCTCAGCTCTGCACATGTCTAGTGAATATAATTAACATGTTAAGCAGCTGGGCTGCGCTGGAAACCTCAGAACCAAAAGACATATACAATCAGATATTGTGAATGAGGTCTTCAATCTGTGAACGAAGGCTTGTGATCCCTTCATTAGCAATTCCAACAATTACAACGTGTGTTTGTGCTTATAGATGCACAAATGAAAGCCTCCTTTTGTTCATGTGCCCTTGCTGTTCCTTTTTGCTCACGACTGAAAATTAAATGGATTAGATTCGAAGCTTATGCAAGATAATGCTAATGTTCTCATATTTAGTTTAATCTTTTTCAATTCATATTTTTTATAATATAGGTGAAAATAATAAATGAAAAATGTATACATGATTTCTTTTAGAATATTTCAGATTATAATTTATTATTTATACAGTCTGCTATTGGCTTGTCTTGAGAATTGCAAACAAAAATAATCAAGGTTTTTAGTTTTTTTTTTTATTAATATGTTTATTCAACAAGGTTGACATTAATTTGTCAAAAGTGACAGCAAAGGCATTTATATCGCTACAAAAAAA